ACTCACTTGACTCCGCAGTACTCACTCTAATCCATTAACCATACCCATGAAGTGACTGCTTTATATATCATTACTATATATGGAGCGCTGTCTGTCTGTCTGTCTGTTTGTTTGTTTGTTTGTTTATTTGTACGGAAATTCGATATAATGTGGGGAAAGACTTGGAGAAGTCGGGTCAAGTTTGGAATGAGTTGAGCATAGGGTAAGTGCAATAGAGCACACGTGAGCCCAGCGAAGCCCCGCCCCCAAGGGGCGGAGCATGCGCCGGAATTGGGCGGGGTCATGGGCGAGTTCTTCTAATTCGGTCTCTTAACATTCCAGACACCGGGAAAAATGTGCAAAGGTGAGGGACGGGTCAACAATCAAAATAAAGGAAACTTACCGGCGGTGGGCAGAGCGTTCTCGCAGTGGGCGGTACTTTCCATAGATTCATAACTCGATTTAACGAAGGCGGCGTGGCCAGGAAAAAAATAAAGAGAGTGAGCAAGGCTTTATGCGTGCTGAGCATGCATAAGCATAGCGAAGCCCGCCCACGAGGGGCCGGGGCGCGCGTTGAGGTGAAAGCTACTTTTCAAAGTGAGTGTAACTTTGTTCAGAAACGTTCCGGGATGCGGCAAAAAGGTGTCAAGGAGTAAAGGAACAAATGTGGTCAAATCCTGAATGTGGGCGGGGTTGGCACTCAAGTGGGCGGGGCCTAGATCAAAATTCATGACTCTATTCAGAAACGTTCTGGGATGCGGCAAAAAGGTGTCAAGGTCGACACACCTAGTTACTGCTTTATAAATAAGAGAGATGACGGCTTGCTTGAGCGGCGTGGTCGTCTTTGATTCGAGAAGAGGCGAATTATTTTTTGCAAATTCCTCATTTCGAAGAGGGGGCAGATTTCAATTATTTCTAGATCCTTACTCTGAGCTAATACAGGATGATGGACGAGGGCTGAGCGGAGGGGATAGGTCAAGCATCCACAACAGCGCACGAGTTCAAGCACGGGACTATGAAGAATGGCAAGACGAATTTCATAGGCCCGTGAATGTGTTACGCAGTAAACCGAAGACACACTGAAGCGCCTTCAAACACTTGTCACAAATACGACGCAACAAAAAGTTACCCTGGGCCCTGAAGCCGTCGAGGAGGGTGGTGTGCAGTAGGTGGGCTAGCCATTGTATCACTCGTTTACGCGTCGCTCAAATCCCTCCAATTCAAAAACGTTGTTCGTAGAGGGGTTCACCGCTCTTCTCCATCATTGAGCACTAAAGCACTGAAGAAGGCGTGGCAGCTTCGCGAGTCCATAATAGTGCTTCAGCGAGGTCCTTCGGCTAAGTACCAACTCGGAGAACAAGTAGGTTGGCTATTCCTCCCTACTACGTTCCCAACCAAAGTTTGTTTGTAAAGATAGACAGCTGAACACGGTATACTGACATTTTTTCAAGGAGCGGTGACCAACCACCAGCTTTTTGAAACCTATTTGAAAAGAATTGATTGATAAGGAAGCAACGGTTCATAATCAGCAATGTTCTCCCATTTTTTTCAGGCTCAGTAAGTTCAAGAAATAGGTTCGTTTTAGATTCACGTCGTTGTTGTCACCCATGGCCATATAGACCATTGCGGAAATTTATCATTATTCAAACATGCAACACTTTTCATGGGCGGTGATGTGGCTTCGGAAGGAACGTACAGTACAATACCTGAGGTAATCCTTATCTATATTCAACGCTCGAGGGTAAAAATCCAAGTTTATTGCTTCAACGAATTTCATTCTGAAAGGCTTCCTACAAACACAACTTCATCGCTTTCATCTTCATGTTTTGCTTTATGGTGTTGGTGTTTTATGGAAGCTGCCGGATAATTCAAACAATGTATTGCACCGTATGTACGGATCGGTGATCTCGCCTGGGAGACTTGAACATATTCGAAAAAGTTTACAAGGTGTCTTCTTGTTTTCGCTGAGAGGTGATAAGATGTGTGACAAGTTAATCATGTCCTGTGAGTGACTTGTAGATAAAACATCGTCTTTTCTTTGTTCGACGATCCCCTGCTAGTCACAAGACATTGGGACATGGGCTTTGATTTTACGAAACTCTGTTGAAGAAGCTTAATGTGGTCCACTTTTTCTCTTTTATCACAGTAATCTTTCAGGACAGTTCGGTTACGCTTGCCCCGAACGTGGAGCTCCTTCGCAGTCGCGGTCATACTGATCATGATATCATAGTGGTTGTCAATAACACAGAACGTGGTCGGATCGTTATCTCAGGTGACCACGTATATAAAAAGAATATGGGGCGCGTGATTATCTGGACATGCTAAGACTTTTCTTTTATAAAATTTTAAGACTATTGGTCCGTAACACGACAAAATGACCATAGGGCACATTCTACCGATACCTTTCCCCATTTACAACCGATAGCATCATCTTTCGAATACGGTTGTCTAGAAACCGAAGGGTGAAGTCTTTGACGCTAATGAATCCCTACTTTGGGCTGCATCCCGCATTTAGGTTCTAGGGTGTAGTCTCTCGTTGTAAGGGGAAGGATTTGAAATTTCAGTGAAAGGTGGTTACGGTAAATGCCGCGAAGCCACTGGCGCTTGCCATGGGAATTCGGATACAAAGTCGGTCACTCCGACACGAATGTAGCTGCATAATCTTGTTTTCGCGAAGAGTTGTACGCAGTCGGATAGCATTTCCCATCCCTAATGAATTGGAGAGATTTACATCGCCATTCCTGTTAATCATCTCAATAAATTGCTTCTATTCATAAAACTTTTGTTGTTTTCAGGAGATATATTCGAGTGTGCAAATGATGATAACATATGGAAAGAAGTTTCACGATATCCGGATTTACAGGAGAAGAGCCGTTCAGAGATCGAAGACATTGCTGAGTGGATTGTACCTGGACACGGATTTATGTTCAAAAACCCAAAGAATCCCAATTCTACATAGTTCAAGAAGTTACATAATAGATTTTTGACTTGTAACTTGGCTCTTTTGCGAAGCGTTCTCAAAATATGGTCAAATGTGATATGCTGCACGTTTCATGTCCATGTCATCCGCAGCTTATAATAGGCTGCATTTTTCACGGTTTTCTTTGTTGCTACAGCGATAGCTTTTATGTCAATAAATTTCTGAAAGTTTGCGCATGTATTTAATATTGATGGTCAAGTATTCCGTCAATTTCCTCGCCATCCTCTGAATATTCATTAACACATACATGTATTTGTGCACTCAGTAGAATAGTGTTTTACATGTTTGTGCACATTTTCTGAATGTTGCCTTCATACTGTACAAGGCAAGTGTTTCACTTCAGTGATATAAATATGATTAAACAGTTGAGGTGCGGAAACGTTGTTTCAGTAATACCGGTGGTGAGGAACTTCAAAACACCAGGGGTCTGGGGAATTTAGCCCTGCTTTGATTTTCGCGTTTTCAGTATTGTACGAGTTGCGTTGAAGACTGCGTACAGCATGATCCGCAGCAGCTCAACCACTTGTCCCATCCTTAAAGCTAACCTTGCTATCAATGGGCGTCGGCCACACGAGCGTTTCAGGTATATAGTGTCAAGAGGAGTTTTCATCCGGCGTGGGTTTCATGGGGGCAGGCGCTTCTCTAGAGATAACTTTTAACTGTCAACTGTTCAAGTAATTTAGGCATTCGCTTTGCTTCCTATTCGTTGAATGGGCTGCGTGAAAAGTTCAGTGATTTTGAGTTGAGGGTAGCCTCCCACCCAGGTGCGAAGCAGTTCGAGTAACCAATTGCAAATTGAAAAACTGTATGTTTGGACGGGTTGCTCGACGTTGGAACTGCGCAAGAAAGGCATATCGGAGGCAATTAGAGCCTTTCACCCCCCCCCCCCCCCCCCCCCCCCCCCCCCTCCCCCCCTCTTTGGGTGCGGTTCGGGGGCCGCACTGAACGATAAGGACCCACACTCAAATGTCACACACACTAATTTCATTGGACAAGAGTCTTGGTTAATCTCTTAATCTCCATGTTGTGTCTTAATGAATATGTGGGCTGGTGCGTTTCTGGATTGCGAAGTATTTGGTACTTCGAATGGTGTCCTTCGTTTGCATTTGCGAGAGCACCGTTGACAAGTCAATCCCTTACTGATTTCAAAGAATAGCGCTCATCAGCACCCTCAGATCATGTGGTAGTGTGCACAGCATTTGACATTTTACGTAATACAGAGAATGGTAGCTCAACTTACGAGAAGCAGTGCTAATTCTTGTCGCATCAAGTTACGACGACTTGTAGCGGTGTTAAACGGGGCTCACGTTTGGTGGTGGTTAAAATATGTACGGGTCGGGAGAGCCTAGCCGCCGGGCTCTCCTTCTTTTGTTAAGTTGACCCGCCGCCTGCATTCTCCCAAGGTTCAAAAGCTTCGATTCAATAGGACAGGAGCCACTCATTTCCAGCGAAGCACACGCACACCAACAGAGTCGGCGTCCTGTCCGCCATGTGTGAAGTCCTGGTCAAGTCCTGTGTGTTCAAGTGTTATTATTCAT